CGTCGACGTTACCCCCGCGATCGCCGAAAGACTCTTGGCTACGGTATACAGCGCGATAAAAATCGCGGGTCCGGCAAAGTTCAAATTAGATGACTCGGTACGCGTTAGCAAGTACAAGACGATCTTCGAGAAGGGTTACACGCCAAATTGGACCACCGAAGTGTTTAAGATCGTTAAAGTGCAGCGTACTAATCCCGTAACCTATTTACTCGAGGACTATCGCAAAAAATCTGTCGCTGGGGCGTTCTACGAGTACGAGTTGCGTCGCGCGACTTACCCGGACGTGTATCTCGTGGAGAAAGTTCTGCGCAGAAAGGGTGACGAAGTTTACGTGGGTTGGGATTGCACAACTCTTGGATACACAAGGACAATGTGGTTTAATTCGTACAAACTGTATTTTATTTTTAACATATGAAAAATATGAAAAATATGAAAAGTATCTGAAATATGTAAAAAAGTATAAAAATATAATATGTGTAAGATGTATACAGCATATAAAATATGAAATATAAAAAGAAAAAAGAAAGATAGAAATATATTTCTTTGTTTTCCTCATACATACATGCATACATGCATACATACATACATTACATTACATTACATTACATTATAAGGGTATCCGGTAATGTCCCCACGGTAGCGTGTCGGTCGAATCAGGTACGATATATCGCTTGTCGTCGTACGGACTCAGGGCGATTTTTGTCTCGCTGATTGTGTACACTTCGTGCAATTTTGACCTTATGCAGGACTGCTGTCGAGTCATTTCAATTTCATCGCGCAGACACCGCGTGTAATCGTCGAACGTTATCGTTCTCGCTACGACGTTACTCTTGACGCCTTTAACCTTCTTTGTATCCTTTTTACTATCTACTCGCAACGCGTACATTTTTGCTCTAAGCCCGACAAATTCAGTCATGATCGCACCGTTATTCTCGTCCTTCATCAAGCCCGGCACTTTCTTGTTCTCGAGCGGTATACCGTACGCGTTGTTAGCCGGATAATCGCTCGTGACGAATCTAGCGATATCGCGTTTCATATTCTCATACACATCCTCGCACTCGATGTGATAAATCAAACTGTCTGTATCGGTGTACATTATTTTACATTTATCTCGATATAACGGTACCATGTATTCGTGATGAAATTCGTACAAACACGTTTTAGAAATGTCTAGGATGCACATACCGACGTAGATCGGTTTATTAAATTTCACCTCGAGTTTGCACAATTCGACAGCGACCAAATTTTCCGAAAAGACACTCCTGCTGTGAAAATTTGGTTTCGCGATCATCGCCTCCGCACCGTATCGTCCGTCCCACTTTGTTAATAATTTTACATCGACGTGATTGCGCACGTTTTCCATAGTTTTACCGAATACCGCGTTGTTCATTAACTTGTATAAATTTTTCTCGAAATCGTTTGTCGCGCGCGTTCTAAACCAGGTGTTGAGTTCGATGTAATCGCGGAGCCATGCGGATTGAGCGAATTGCAATACGCGATGTATCTTTGCGACGCGAAGGCCGTGACGCGTGCATTGTTGCAGGTTGCGATAGTGTATGACGTAACGCTTCTTATCGTATAATGTCGCGAGGAGCTTGCCCTGCCGCTTGCCGGGCGGCTTATCGCGCATCGGACAGAACGGTAGGTCAGCGTGCGCGTCGTGAAGATGTTGCGGATACTCGAGATCGACCTCGAGAATATAACCTATGGGTGAATCCGAAGCGATCGCGCTAACGTCAAAGTCAGAGATGTCGTCGACCCATCGAAATTCGGCATAGGGCAACGGTTGACACATCGCCCAACCGTACAAGTTGTTTACATCAAAATACATCATGTACGACAATGGTTTCGATGGATCGTAAGACGGCGTGTACTTGTTACTGGCTCGCGCGTATCTGCGGAACATTGGCTCAGGCCACCGCGTATTCCCCGTTCGATAAACATAACCATATCGATATCAGTAAGTAATTCAAACGTAATATTCGTATGTTTTAGCATGGCGTCCCACGTGTATAATAATAGGGAAGAGTATAATAATACGCGGGGTCGAGCCCATAACTCTCGATACATTTGTCGCGAAAATTTTCAAAAACGTCGGCCAATAACAAGACATCCGTTTTTAAATACAAGTCGCTGTATTCGCCCAGCGTTCGAACGGAGAACCGCCTCCAGACGTTTTCGGCGTGCGCGTAATCGCTCTCGGATACGGTGTCACCGGTCAAGGAACTGTAAAATGATTCGCGCGGTGGTAAACACGTATCGTGCAACCTATCGACACAGTCAATGTATTCGTATGGAAAGACACCTTTTCGCGTCAATAAATTGAACTCTTCGGTCGATAAATCTTGAAATTTCGATTTTAAAATTTGGAGTTTATCATTATTTAGAAACGATGCCAATTTTTCGAGACTAGTACTGAGAAATTTGTACGAATCGATGAACCGTAACTTTATATCGCTTCGCCAATCTGATCTTTCGGCGGTATCTTTAACGTGTTTCGTGAATAAAATATACTATTCTTTCGTTATCGGTAGTGCGTTGATCGAGCCTTTGAACGCGGTAGCTATTTCCTCGATGATAAAATGTGAATCGTAACCGGATAAATTGTGAAAAACTATTGGAATGCAAAAAGAGTCTTTATAATTTAAATTGCAGTTTGAATGCGCGGGACCTCGGTACCGCCCGGTAAGATGGCAATGATCGCGTACGCGTGTATCGTCTTGCTCGAACGGTTTTTCGCAAATGTGACAGTGTGTCGCGCTGTGAAACTTTTCCCGCTCATCTCGCGTTAAATTTACCATGGGGACATTCGTGGTTAAAATAGTCTTTACGCGTTGCGCTAAATTTTTTAATTTTTCCACGAACCACGAAACGCAGTCCGTACTGCGGCGAGAATGATACGCGGATAACGATTCGTCCTACGAACAATGTACATAATAAGCTACGCTAAATACTTGATGATGTTGAAACGTGTACGTAGACGTCATCGGATCACCGTCGGTCTTCCTCAGCACGCACTCCAAGTCGGCGTATACGACGAATGGAAGCCGCTCCTTTCTGTTGTAGTTGTTGAAGCTGAGCCATTTGTCCTTATCGCCCGGAAATCGGATTGCGCACTCGTTCACTTCTCGGCAGTCTACAGTGTGCGATTGCAACTTGTCGTCCGATCCAAAATAGTGTAAACATCTGTAAAAAAAAAATAGAAATAATTAATTTTTCTTTCGTATATATATTTTGTATATTTTATATATTGCATTTTTATTAAATATACGTACCGATCGAAGATATATTTCATATGATCTTTTTTGCTCAGTTGCGAGCTCACAAGTCGGGATAAATTCTTGATCCACGCAAAATGTCCGACGTCTTCCGAATCTTGCATGTACAACAAGTTGACGTGCCTGTCCTTCTTTTGTTCGCTCAGACGTATCGGGACAACGCTATTCTCTTTCTCGATGCAATATACATTTATCGAAATATCGTTATGAAATTCAAACTTTTTAATTTGATTAACAGTCACTGGAAACTCAATGTCCTGGAGATTCAGCACTG